TAAACAGTTTAACAAAAGCCAATCATTATCTGTTCAAGCTATTATGGTAGGAATTGACATTCCATTAATCATATAAGCACAATTAAGCTCCTCAGTCTCTGACATAATAGTACTAATAAAAGAACATAAATACACAATCTGGCAAGTACATAATTTTGAAAAAAAGCATGAACAAAGTAAATGAATTAAATTTTACACAAACAGATAGTACTTAAACTTTAAAGATAATACAAGTTAGATGTTAGATAACATTCTAAAAAGAAGAGCAAAACTAGTTAGTTTTAAAAAAATTATTTCATCAGACAAAATAATTACTGACAAAGATGAAATCAAAGAAGCCACATGTTTACATTTTAAAAACTGAACAAAAAAACAATTCTACTAATAATGACAACTGGAAAGAATAAGAAACAACATATCTTTTACTTAACAATATCAAAAACAACATCTATGACAACCTTCTTAATCCCATCACAATGATAGAGCTTGAACAAACAATAAAAGTGGTGTCTAAAGGGAAAGCAACTAGATCACTAGAAATTTTAAATAAAGTTCTTTAACATTTATCTCTATTAGCTCTCTTCTATCTTTTAACTATACTTAACAACTGCTTAATACAAGAAATTATTCCTGATCAGTGGCTAAAAGCTAATATCTGGTCAATTCCAAAAAAACAAACTTACAACTATGAACTTAATTCTACTTGCCCTATCATATTAATTAATCATACAAAAAAAATTTTTACAAAAATTCTAACAACTCGACTAACAAATATCTTAATATATAATTAAGTACTGTTCTCCTATAACTTTACAGCTTTTTCTTATCAATCTACACTACAGCCAATTTTACAACTTATGCAAATTCTAGAAGATGCAGTCACAAACAAAAAAGAAATATAGATTCTTTCTCAAGACATATCAAAAACCTTTGACTCAATCTATATATCTATTTTATGCAAAGCATTCAAAAGAATATGCATTTCAGACAAGACAATAAATCTATTAACATACCTGCTCTCATATCAAACCAACAGAGTAATTACAACCCTAGTTCTAATTGCACCATACCTGGTAGAAAATGGTATTGACCAAAGAGAAACAATCACTCTTCTTCTTTGGAAAATATACTATAACCTATTAATATTATGAATACATAAAGAACAGCAAAGATATCTTAGTAAAATTCTTTTCCTAAGTACAAAAAAGATACACACCTCAGTAATGGTCTATATGAATGACTCCTTATAGATCATACCAAACAAAACCTTACTTACCAATATTTTATATACTACCTCCTTATTCTACAAATTTGCTAATATAAAAGTTAATTCATTAAAGTTCACTTTAGTTACAAACTCATTAGACACAGATAACACTATACTTTTTGATAAAGAAAAATTAATAGCAATTAACAATAGGGCACTATTTAAATATCTGGAAGCATGGTTCTTAATCAGCAAAAAACTAATATTAGTATAAAAAGAAATAATAGCTGAAGCTAAAATTAACCTAAAAAAAATTACAATTTGCTAATATAACAGAAAAACAAGCAATTTATATTATAAATATTGTTATTACCTTACACCTTCTCTATCATCTATATTTTTCATTTCTTTTTTCCTCACAACTAGACTTACTTAACAGAGCTTGTACTCAACTAATTAAACACAAAGCAAGACTAGCACAAGGTGTTTCAAATTTCTTCTTATTTAATTCAGACATTTATGTACTAGTAGATCTAAAACAAGACCAAACATCTGCACTAGTTACAACATTTCAAAAAAACCTAAATCATCCCAACTATGATATTTCTTTTCTAAAAATACAACTACAACAACTGCAAGATGCAGCATTGACAAATATATCAATTCTAGAACAACTTCTAGTATTCCCATTATCACAAATAAATATACAAACCTGCCAGATGATAATAGCATTGCACACATTAGGACTGCAAACTATACAGAATAATAATAACTAGCCACATCTAAAGAGATTTATTGGAACATCTATAAATCAATTTCTCGAAAACCATTCTAAAGCCTCTTACCTTAAAAAAAAATTAAATAATCACAACATTACAAGTATTAAACAATTTCTAAATTCAATTAACACAAAACTAATAACATAGAATAACTTCTATCACAATATTAGAAAAATATCCAGAGAACAATGTCTTTATTGATTTTCTATAATGCAGAACCTGATAACTGCCTCTGCGAACTCATCTTTAATACTTTCAAAATTAAACCCTTATATCATAACCAATTGAACACCTAGCAATAAAAACTGGATAATTACAAAGAACTTAATTTGTGAAAAATTTACAACTCATTCAAGAAACATCCTAAAATCTGACATTACATTTTATATTTGGATAATACACTGATAGCCTGCCAAGGATGTACTTTAAAAAACAGGTTATACAATTCTAAATACTGCTACTTTAATACTACAGAACCAATTTATAATCTTCAAATAGATTGCAAAAAAAGAATTTATGCTGATCTTAATGATTTTAAAAAAGCATTAACTTTAAACATATTAGCAGCAAATCAATCTCAAAAACATATAATGTATCCAGTTTTAGCCAGACCTTTATGTTCATTCAATAACTTTTCAATACTACTTTGAAACACAATGACAAAAAATAATTTTAACAAAAAAATAATAACATTATACATAACAAATAGTCAACACAAAATAGAAAACAACTCTCATATAATTATGAGTTGTAGTTTTCAGCATCTCAATATCTCATTTAGCTGTTATACCAACTGTTGGCTCTCTTATTTAAACACTTCATTAATCTTGTTAATCTTTGTGCTTACTATAATGAACCTAAGTACCAACTTAAATATATTTACTAACAATTTCTCGCTTGTAAACATAATTACTTTTATACAATCAGTCCAATCACATAACTATCTTAGCTTAAATAAATAGCAACATGTCTATCTTCTTTTGATATTAAAAGCAATAATATATAATCAAATTCTAACAATTACATTGGACAAAGACCTTAAAATTCCACAAGTACAAAACAATATCTTTTCACTAGATTCTATATCACAAAAATTTTTATATAACTGTTTTGTCCCAAAGCTTCTTGGCAACCTTTATACATATCTACTAAAAACTACTCTGAAACAAATTTATCAAATTATAAACAGAATGGCTTAATTTAATTAGCAATGAATTTTATATTAACATATTCTACAAAATAAGATCAACTGGTTACTAACTCTACAATATATATCATATAAAGAAAAATCTCTCACTTTAGTAACTGATCCTTTCTCTTCATTACTAAAAAACTTTAAAATAAAACTACTCTCGAAAGAACTACTCACTCATCTCTTACTTTACTGGAAAAATGTTACCAAACATCTAAACTATCTCTGCTATAGTGCATCAGAAGATATAATACACTTCTTAATTTGATTCTGGAACCATACAAGTCTGACAACCTTGATAAAAAATACAATACAGAAAACATTAAATGACTTGGAAATACCATGTTATGAAATACATAGATTTACTCAAGCCTTTATTTCAAACCATATTAATAAGTACATGCCATTGAAACTAATAACTACCAAGACACTGACATCTTATAAAAACAACAAATAAAAAAATAAATACACTCCTCTTATACATCACAACATTATTACTACAATATATAAAAAACTTTGGCTTACCTCAAAAGCAATACAACATAATTCAGTTTTTCCAAATCCATCACCTTTACAGCCTCCAACATTAGCTAAAACTAAACTGACTCCAATATCAGTATTAAATGAAAAAATATAATACTTTATTACTAATGGACAATCTTCTCTTCATCACCTTATCAAAGACTAAAAATTTACTGACCATTCTAGCAAAAAATAGGTCAAGAGTAAAATAGCTCTTACCTTTATCTTCCCTAGTTTAGTTTCTTCAACATGTATCTTATATATGTAATTTGACTTATTAATAAAGAGATAGAGGATAGACCTCTCTTTTTAAAAAAAAAATTATATATATTTACAAACTGCAGCAAAAATTGCAAATATAACTGCGCCACCAATCAATTAATTGAGGTCAAATAATTGCAATTAATTACCTCACAATCAATTATTCGGTAGCCCTGGTTTGATACCAATATGCCCGGCATGAGTATTCGCCGACCCCTAATCATAACTTTAAAAATTTTTGAGATAGTAATTTTACCAAGTTGCCCTCAACATTTGTGCTCGTGATTCAGCACTTTGTGCCTGTGTCTTAATAGTACTTACACTTTGTGCCAGTGTCTTGATAGTGCCTGCACTTTGTGTTTGTGTCTTTGATGGTGCCTGGCACTTTGTGCCGTGCCTTTATTAGTACCTAGCATTTTATTAGCCCCATGCTTCTAATAATGCTTGGCACTTTTGTGTCTATTGGCATAAGTATGGCGGCATGGTGTAAGTATGCCGGGCATGAGTCGAACATATATCTATAATAAATTAGTAAAGTTTATATGTATTAAAAATTTCCAAACTGTCAACACAGAGTAGTAATTGTCTATATTACAAGTAACACAAATTTGGAAAGGTATAATTAAGGCAATATATTTTGTAATAATTAGGCATGTCAATGTTATCTATTTAATCTGAGTCACCATCGGTTAGGAGAGCGTCATACGTATGTAATATTCAATGATGAACTAAATGATTATTTTGAATCTCGGGTCATGGTAAACTTTTATAGAGATACCTTAAATCGACGGTTTACAAGAATTCCTTCTTGTTAGGGAGGGATTAAAGGATATCAATTTTCTCTAATTTCTGAAAGGCTAGCATTTATATACATGCAGAGGAATTATTGGAGGCGTATTGTATGTTCTGTTGTCAAAAGAAATTTTAATATAAAAAATAACCGAAATGAGTAAGGAGTAAGGATGAAATTTAAGGTTTGAACATTGGGTATCGGATAAACTATTAGTTATTCTATAAGAAAATTTTATTCCATCACTCGTCAAGGCCAATTTAGTCTTTGAGTATTTTTTCTTTTTCTTATTTCGCGATAATCAGAATTTGAATCACCTATCATTATTGCTATCATTTTTAAAAGTTCGTACACGTACGTACTAATTAGCGAAAACTAAATATAGTAATCGATACATAATACATCGATAATCACATCGGGAAACCCATGAACTTCTAAAAAGTCTAACGTTAGAGTACGAATAGCTGGACTAAGTCTGGTTTAATCCTAAGATAGTTAATAGTCTGAACAAGCAATATCTATTAATGTAGTACCAGACCATTAACATTCTCACAATCATTAAAAATATATACGGTTCAACCGTCTAATAGTTATATGATTTTACATGTAACAGACCTACAATAAATCTTTAATTTCAAATCCGTTATGTTCATTACCTGTTATATATGTTGTAAGTGGAAACGGATAAGGAATTTTTATATAAAATCTCGTTTTGAAGTTGACTTTATCATATGTACACCCTAACCCTAACCCTAATTTAACTAGGAAATTCCATTCCTACCTACAAATCCGTTATATATTAATCTGTCGTTACAGCTGTTCCTTGGAGATCACGGGGAGAAATTATCCGTTATTCATTTAAATTTATAATCCCACACACATTTTTATTATAATAAAATGGTGTGGGATTATAATCGACGGTTCATCCTGTTCATTTTAATTGATATCCAAATAATCCGGATAATTATCCGGATAATTATCCGGATATCAGATCTGGATATCCAATGGATAAATGAATAAACGGATAAAGGATAGGAACTCTTCATAAAATTCATAAAATTGTACACAACCTATTAACACTTAATCCAGACTGGACCAATATCTCTAATTATAAGTTTTGCTTTAAGTTTTGCCTGTAAGTCGGATTCTTAGTTTTAACGATCTCCCCAATTTGGTCACCATTGTTATTACCGTTACATCTTAAAATCACAACTAAAATAACTCACAACTAACTGATCATGGGATTATACGGCATCTAATGATATGATATCATGTCATTATCTATGTCAGTACAGTAATAAAAATTATTTGTTTGTAATCTACAGCTTTTCAGGCTGATCAATCGATCAAGTTGCGAATCGACAAAGCAGGAAATATAGTCTAGACTTATCTTAGGATGTTAATAAGAAAGATTAGGAAGCAATTTTGCAATTACTTAATTAATAATTGTTAAACCGTGATACAGCATCTCCTTAAAAATGGAAATTTCCATTCATCAATATTTTGATTCCAATTACGTATATATAGTAATCGCGTTATTGGTACAAAAAAGAACACTGTCGTTGGGGTTTTAAATGTACAATGTAAATCAAGTTTTTATATCAATTAGACTGTTACGTGTAACATATATGATAGGTCGCATTTAGTGTTACAAATCGTCAATCGATTAGTCGGTCATTATTTTTTTCAGTTGGTTGTATTAATTCATTAAGTAAATATAAATGATTTTTCAATCGATTCTTTGCAACTAATCAAGTAATTCTTTAGTCGATTGCAACTAATTGATTAATCGATTAATCGATTAGTTGGTGTCTAAAAAGTTCAGTCGATTAGTTGTCAACTGATTGATTAATTTCGATTTCGATTTGTATCACTAGGTCGCATTTTGTTAGAATTTATTGTATATTTTTTTAGTGTAATAAAATTTTTTATGAAGCAACTAGTAATTTTCTATAAATTTCCAAATTTGTATCTCCTCTATAATCTGCATATTAGTATATTTAGAAATAGCTCAACATATACGTACGTACTGTAGCAGTAGTACATTTCACACATTAAAGTTTTTTTTTTTTTGTGCTAAACTAAAAAATAATTAACATATTTATCATTTTTATTGTCAACAAAATTGATCAAAATTGATCAAGATAACTTTGATTCACGTAGTGCATTGAAACCCCAACACAATTGTGCATAACCTGACCGCATGATAATTAGAAATATAAACTTTGAAGACATAACACAAACATTAGTATAGGTTATAGAAATACAAGATTTTGCAGATTATCAATTTAAAAAAAAAAGGAACCTGAAAAGGAAGATGATAAAATTTCACCAAAATTGCGTGATCTGCATTCTTATCGCTTAATAATCAAAAAAGACAAAAAAGACAGCATTCAAACTTTATATAAATAGCAAGCTTCTGGCATCTGTTTTTTTTTAACGGGATTACTTATTCTCACTTCATTAATTCACTTCATAATAAAATATAATAAAAATGGTTCTCCGCCTTGGTGACGAAGCCCCAAACTTTAAAGCAGAAACTACCCAGGGTGATATCGATTTTCACAGCTTTATCGGTGATTCTTGGTGTGTCTTGTTTTCCCACCCAGCAGATTTTAGTAAGTTTCACATAATGAAGATAATGAATATTTATGATGAACTTGAAAAAGAACCTATTTTATTAATCTAATTCTTTTACATAGCCCCGGTATGCACTACAGAACTTGGTGAAGTTGCTCGTCGTAGCAAGGAATTTGAAGAACGTAATACTAAAGTGATTGGTCTTTCTGCTAATGAATTGAAAGACCACCACCAATGGGTGAAAGAAATTAATGAGGTTAACAAAGTTAATCTTGGATTCCCAATTATTGCGGATGCTGACCGTAAAGTTTCCACCTTGTATGACATGTTGGATTATCAAGATGCTACTAATGTTGATACCAAGGGCATTCCATTTACTGTCAGAAGTGTTTTCATAATCGATCCAAAAAAGAAAATCAGATTAATGATAACTTATCCTGCTTCAACTGGTAATTATACATATATATATATAATTTTAATGTTAATAATGATAATTTTGAGAATATCTATCAATAACATAATAATTTTAGGACGCAACTTTGACGAAATTGTTCGTGTCATTGATTCTCTTCAACTTGGTGACAAGCACCGTATTACTACTCCTGCTAACTGGAAGAAAGGCGATGATGTTATCATTCATCCTAGTGTATCTAATGAGGAAGCTTCAAAACTATTTCCTGACTATAAAGCACCATTGCCTTATCTTCGTTTAGCCAAATCTCCTTTCTAAAGAATTTATATTATATGCTAATCATACTATAAGTGATCATGAATATTATGTTAAATACATTTAGCGTACATTTATATTTGATGGTTTTATTATGCACATATTTACAAAAATAAATAAAAAAATAACAAATTGTTTATGTAATTAATCTGTTTCTATAATACCTAAATGGAAAATGCGAATGGACAATCGTTTATGTTCTATAATGGTTTAATAATGGTTATAACAATGTCTAGACAATGATTCTATATTAATCAAATGACGTAAACAATTCATCAAACTTAAATATCATATTACATGATAGTTTGATGATGATGAAAGTCTCATATATCATCTGAGTTGATAAATTTAACTTTCTCTTTTATTTAACACATTCAGATATTCAGAACTTTCGGATTATTTAATCTCTTTTGTCACAATTCTTCATTTTCTTTTTTTCCATTATGTATCGATCTATAATAGAGACAGAAACAGACTCATCGTTATCGCCTCCACCTTCCTCCTCAACGACCGAAGATGAAGATGATTCCTCAATTTATTTACGACAACAAAATTTCTCGAATTTCCCATCGTTAACCTGTTCAGCAAGTACTTCACCTATAATCGAACCCGAAACTACCGTCGATTATGATGATGATAGCACTCCATCATTGACACAAAGGGCGTCAGAACTTCATTTCATGGTACAAAAATTAATAAATACTCATTTACCACATCTTCAATCTAAAATTTTAAAAAAACAGGATTTTTCGAATGAAGTAGATGACACTTTTATTTATAAAGGTGTGGGTAGAGAATATCACTATACTTATGACGCGATAAAAAAAATTGTAAATGACTCTTGGATTTGTAATCATTTGGATATACCCCCATATTTTGCTGATATTTATGATACGACTGATGGTTTCTTGGAATGTGGAGTGGATGCTGACGATTTCTTTATCTTTTCAGAATAAATATATATATTTTTTTATCCCTCACGCGTCGTGAAATTTTCTGCCAACAAATACGTACACATACGTACATATAGTACGTATAGCACGTTCTGAGTGTACGTAGTATATAGTACGTAATAACAATTATATAATTACGTAACAGTAATTATATAATCTTAGGTTTCTCGTAGAACTACTATATTACTATATGACGTATTCTCAGCATATTACTATACGTAATACTCGTTGACTTTTTATAAGATGTCAAAATATAATTATATCATTACATAGGCGTTTTTTCTGAAAATGTAAATTTATAAAATGTCTTTATTCTATTGCTAGAAATATTTTGTATTTTTATTACATATTAAATCTAATAATTATAAAATTATAATTCATCGCCAGTTGCCATCTAAATAAGAGCCATTTTAAAAAGCAAACAGCAGTTAGGTTATCATAGAAAGACTTTTATATGATTGGTCATTGAAATTGACATTATTTATATGGTTTTAAAGTATTTTTTTAAAAAAAATAAAACAAAGAATAAATAAATCAAAGTATATAGAAAGTTTATTTATTCTTTATTTTTTTTATTAATTAGTTAATTTACATATATAAGATACATGCTAAAGAAACTAAGTTAAGGGAGATGAAGGTAGGAGTTACTTTACTCTCAACCTATTCTTTGTTAAAATGATTAGTAGACCTTTAATCTTTGATAAGATAACAAAGAGAAGATTATCTATAAGTGATATAATAGTATATTTTTTTGTTTAATAAAGAAAATAAAATTAGTTTTAACTAATGTTGAAGATTGTAATAGTAATAAAACCAGAAAAACAGATTCATGTTGAATTATTCTAAACATAAGTCAAAGTTCTTTATATATTGCAAAAATAATATTGTAATAAATAAAAAGAATATGTTTATGTTTATATTTATTATTTTTTAAATAATGTTAAAGTGTTGTTAGTTATTAGTCTTAGTAATATTTGCTTGTTAATATAATTTAAAATAAAAGTTTGAGTAAAATTATTTGTATCATAACAAAGTATTTTTAAATTGTTTGAAGTTTTATAAACTGTATATATTATTAAAATTGTAAAATACAAATGATTTTAAAAATATATTAAAAAATATAAAATATTTTTAAAAATAATATAATACTTTAAATAGAGATAGATAAAATGTTTAATAGTGTTTTTTTAATAAAAAAGAAGATAAGTAAATAGTTTTTTAACTAATAATTTGATTTTAAAGTTTTTTAGTATTAAAAAATATAGATTAGTTATTAAACTT